TATCCCAGTGTTGTGATAGGTAAACCCTTTCGGCCGATAAGTCGATTCCCAGATATTTGTAGGATTCTACTTCTGGGATCTGCCTCCCCTGTATCGTGAGGCCCTGATCGTGCATATGCGTTGAGGGCGGTCGAGAGAAGACTATCACTCCGCTCTTCTGGGGATTGAATTTGAACGAGCGCCGTCGTGTGGCTGAAGGATTCATCGAGGAAGGGAATCGCATTAGACCCGAGATAAGGCGACTCCCGATGCTCCGTCAGAACAGTAGTTCCAGGGGAGAACTACATTAATCACTCTGGACCGTCGCCCATACAGATGCCGATGGTTCTGTAACGCCCTCGTAACGGCCAGATATTCTCTCTCCGAAAAGTGGCATTTTGCCTCCGCTGCTGTGAGACGACGACTCGCGGAAGCGACCTTTCTCTCCTTGCGATGCGGAATCTGTTCGAGAACCGCTCCTAGGCCGCTAACTTCCCCGTCAGTTTGGATTCGTGTTTTTGGAGCCATGTTCGGCGTGAGAGAGGATTTGCTCCGCCGATATACGATTCATTATTTCCGGGAAGACTGACTGGCGGGCTTCCCCCGTCACACGAAACCTTCCGCGGGAGATCATAGGGTGGCGGCGCAACTAGAGAAAATCCTGACGTTTCGTCGATAATCGGATGATGATCCCAAGAGACCCCTCAGCTCTTTGAAATCCGAGGGGGGATGGAGGTTAGCGACGGCTTCTACCTTACCTGGCTCGGGAGCTGTACCACTCGAGGTGAATGTATGCCCAAGATAAGTCACTTCCGTTCTCACGGAAGTACAGGTTTAGCTTTTTGGCTGCGTGAAGGCATGTCGGATCACGAAAACTTCATCTGGATTTCTTTTCTGGTTTTTTCTCCTGCCGCGGGGACAGAGAAAACTCTGCTGGAGCCGCGGGGCTCCTATCGGAGCTCCTGCGCAGGTGAGATGAGTTCTGATTCTCTGTGGGACAGGGAGCATGATGTATCCCGCGCTGCGGAATGATTCGAATGCACTCGCCGAGCAAAGGCTGGAGCTGGATCCTCTGCGCATAATTTCCGCGCTTCGCCGAATGCTGATTTCCAGATCCTTCTCTCCCTCGTGCGTCAGAGGCTCCCTCTGCTTCGGGCTCGAAGTCAGCTGAAGCTTGAAGTCGCATTTGCGATTGAGCAGCGTCTAGACGGCTCGATCATCATGGTCTCCGAAGGATCGATCGCGAAGCTAGAGCACGGCCCATGAAATTTCCGAGTCCAAAGCTCGTCAGCTCATTCGGCAGGTCCTCCAACAGATTTCATCCTCATGATAGGGACTATCTTCTTCTTCAATGGAAATGAGCGCCGCTGTATCTGGATGATCCCCGTATTTTGCGTCCTAATGAAAGAAATTCGATCAGGTTGTGCGACACCTCACGCCGAAGATAGCCCCATGCCTGAGGAAACGCGCGAAGATTCGAATCGCAGTTCGGCATCAGACGGCGACTGTCAATCGCGTATGTGAATCGTGTGTTTTCAGAACATCCTGAGTCCACTCCTAAAAAAGACGACGAAGTGAAACCTGTCTGTTGTTTCCCCCAGGAGATGCCGATCTAGGCTTGTGGGGTCATTTGTGAAAGCCCTCGCGGAAAGCTTTCAGAAAAAATATGAGACCTTACTCCCTCTCTATGTGTGTCTTCAAAATAAAAAATGTGTCTTTGGACTTGGGATGTTTTGAAAATACATTTTTTTCAACTCAAATCTGCTGTGGAATCTCCCAGGATGGTCGTAGGAGGCTGATTTTTCTTTCGAATAAGGCTCAGGTCCTCAGCTTCCCAACTCCCAACGCCGCCCCGTTCGACCCTGTACCTCCGCCCGTTCGGGAGTTACAGCGCTTTTAAGATTAGGCCCCTCCCTCATTGAGATAACATTGGATTGAAAATTTCCCAGGATGAATTTTTCCCTCATCCCAAAATCGCCGTCAAATCCTTCAGGATAGTCGCAGGAGGCTTGTTTTTTTTTCAAAATGTAGCCCAGCTCACCAGCTTCCCAACGCCCGTTCGACCCTATTGGTCCACTCGGTCGGAAGTTACAGGCGTTTTGAGAATGCCTCCTACGACCATCCTGGAAGATTCCAGAGCAGATTTGAGTTGAGAAAAAAATGCATTTTCATCCCAAGTCCAAAGACACATTTTTTATTTTGAAGACACACATAGAGAGAGAGTAAGGTCTCATATTTTTTTTCTGAAAGCTCTCCGCGAGGGCTTTCACAAATGACCCCACAAGCCTGGATCGGTATCTTCTAGGGGAAACAACAAACAACAGACTGGTTTCACTTCGTCGCCTCTTTTCGGAGTGGACTTAGGATTTAGGATGTTTTGAAAATACATGATTCATGTATCAGTCCTGCGGCGAGGGTCATGTCGATCTCCAGGTCACCAAGATCATTGCGCCTAGAGGGACTTTTCTTCGGGCCACCGCTCTTTGACGTTCTTTTTCTTGTGTTCGTTCTGTGGATTTCCATCAGTCTCATCGTGGGGGAGATTCGCTTCTCACGACTTCTGTCCGGAGTGAATAACTATGTTGTGCTCCGGATCCCGGATCCGAGAGAATCCTTCTCCGCTCTCGTCGAAAATATGGTACTTTTGAACCCTGAGCTGCATGGCACCGAAATCTCGATTCGCTTTTCGATTCCAGTACATTCTGCGCGCTTCATGACATCGATGGTATTTGTATGGCACTGTGCTCTGATTCGACATAATGAAGGGGCTAGGTCAGCAGAGCGACTGTCTCTAGTTGCTCGATCGTGTCAAATTACGAATAATGCTGCCTAATCATCCAATAAATCATTCCGACACATGCCTTCCTGTGCTTTAGGGAAGTTGAGTGACAGGGGCGGACCCTACTTTTCTTTCGGTGCCACACGATTCGAGCGCAAGTACCTACACTTGAGCGCTGCGTGAATTCGAGCGCAGAGTCGATCCCAGCGCAGATCGAATTCGAGCTCTGAGTAAAGAGCGCGAAGTGAAGAGCACAGGGCAAACTCGAGCGCAGAATGATTTGAAGCGCCGGGGCTACTGAGCACAGCGCCTAATCGGGAGCACGAGTACTGAGGTTTAGCGCAGAATGAGCTCGATGCCGCGGGGGCCTGAATGCGATCGGAGCAATGAGCGCGCTCGATGATCGAGCGGGGTCCAATACGTTCCCTCTGTGAGAGACTCTCTTCCCGGAATCGGCATCGATGTTGTCGATGTTCATTTATGCTTTTTTCGAGGACGTTCCACTTTCTATGGCAGACCGGTCCCTCGTGGGTTCGATCTCTATCATGACGAGATAGCACCCTGCGCTAGGGTTGACGGAGGAATGTGCGAACGCTATGTAAATTATCTTGGTGGTCCTCTATGAACTCTACTGCTCTGAATGCTCGTGTTGTCATGCAAAGCAACATTCCCTCAATCCCTCTACACCTCTTTCAGCCGAATGACCGAGCGAAGACGAGTTGAGCCGCCCTCGCCATCCGCATTCTTCGACGGCGCAACTTTGGGGGCGCGTCAACCACCAGCCGACTTCTTGGCGGCGACCGATGACACTGCAACGAAGTCGACAACAACAAATCATTGTGCAAATTACATACAGCCACACATGCAACAGGTAGAGTGGCGGCGCTCCGACTCGGAGACCGGTCTGGAGTCGGCACACGGGAACTACTCCAGCAATGCGAGAAACACGGGCGGGCGGTCCGTGCAACGTGGAGGAACCCCCCCCCCCACCGCATTCACGATCAGCCGCGAGACGACGGTAAGTTAATGAAGTCTCGAGTGTGATGGACTCTCTTCGATTTCGTCTTTCTCTTATCTTGCTCCAAAAGCCGCCACGGTCTCGTGAAGCACACCACCTAATCAGAGAAATTCATCGAAATAAGCCACCCAGTTCGGAAGCGGCTCGACGCAGATGGAAATCGTGTAGTAGGCGCCTCCCGTCCAGATTCCAGGAATAGTTCCGAGTCATGATTCCAGCGGAGGGTTCCAACGCTTGGAATCGGGCGTTCCATGTTACCGGAGCCGGAGATCTATTGATCGAATTCTATCGAGGTTTGAAGTGGTCCATTCCCTGAAGGAGAAATGATATGAACGTCGGTACCGTGATCGGCACACTATCAGACTGGAGTCAGAGCCGTGATCGAGCTCGTTAGAAGAGAGCGGACTCAGCGAACAGTCGCATGCGAGACGGTTCCAGAAAACAGGACTCTACGGCTATGGGCATGGTGGAGATTGAGCACCACTGAACACCCGGATTCCTACAGAAATTGAGGATCGGAAATTTCGTCCCCGGAGTGTGCCGCCAATAGCAGATCCCGGCGAAATTCACCAGGAAACGGGTCTAGATTTCGTTGATTGGGTCCTCCGGCACAGTGAGCAGCCTCGACCCCTGCTCTCGGACGAATAAATGGAAAAGAACCAGAAGGGTTTAGCCAGGAGCCAAACCGTTGTTTTCGAGTATTAGGGCTGGACGGAAGCACGGGAACTTACGGGGTTTTCGCTCGACCGGAAGAGGATTTCACGAGGCGGTGTAACGATCTCCAGACTATTCAGGGAAGGGTCGACATTGGTCCGGAAATGATGTTCTAGACGGAACGACTCCTTACTTGGTGAACATAAATTGCCATCGGAGTTCTTCGCCTTCAAGCTAGCCGACACCAGAAATATCAGGAGCAATTCCATTGGAACGTATCTGACTCAATACGTACATTTATTTCCGACCGCGAAAACTGAGAATAGGTGATACTCTAAAGCTAATAAACTTCTCGTTCTCTCGGGCTCGATCCGAGAAGAAGTGTGGCTTCCGGGGTTATTTACAAATACTTGGAGCTGTTCAAATGTTTAGACATTTGTGTGCTCCGTCAGTTCATAATGGCAAATGAGACTTGACCAATCGCTATAGATCTCAAAACCACTTGAGCTCTTCAATCGTGGTCTATGGCTGGTTCGAATCTGAAACTCATGCGACTCTTTCAACTCAGTTTCACGGCTCAAGATTCAGGTTGCGGAAGCAGCCCTCCGGAAGCGTTCGTCGGATGTCATCGATATTGTTCACATCGGCTCTCACTTGCTCCATGTCGTCCGCATGACGGATCAGGAGCTTTGTCTTAGCTTCTTTGTCGATCTGCAATTTCCTTATACGTTCGATTATCTGAGAGTTTCTGAATTGATCTTCGAGCTTGGCGAGCTTCCTCTGGAGTTCTTTCAGTCGATTGTCGTCGTACGAGTCTATGGAGCTGAGCTGTGTGAGGATCGACCTGATTTCAGTGAGAGCATTCGTCGCGATCTGCTTCGTTTCGACAGCAGCGCTCTTCGCGTTTCCAACAAGTTCAGCCACGTCCTCGACTTTACGGTGCTCGTTGTCGATCATATCCTGGAACTCTTTCAGCTGACCTCCGATCGTCCTCACTTCGCGTTCTATGTTGTCGTTTTCCGCGTTGAGTTCATTGGCACGGTGGAGCGAATTCCGCAGATCCTCGGAAAGGGCATTCATCTCCTGTTTTAAGGAATTCCGTTTAAACTCCTAGACATCCAACCTCTCAATCGCTCTAATGATCCAATACGAGGAAGTAGTGAATCGGAATATGCTGCTGTCTGGAGCTTGAGGGGGTCATATGCTACGGCAAGTCAGCACTTACGTCTTTGGCCTGACCAGCGATCCGGAGTGCAAGTCTGGCGGTGTCTCTCGACTGCTCGGCTTTGCGCTCCGCGTCTCCGATCAGATCCTTCACCTGCTGATTTTTCTTGGTCAGAGCGTCGATGGTGCTCTGTATTTGCGGGATTCGTTTCACTTGCAGGAGCGCTTCGTTCCGGTGGGATTCGACTGTCTGGTCAAAGTTCTTCAGTGTGTTGTATGTCGCTTGTGCGTTCGCTAGGATTGCGTTCCCGTCCTTCACCGCGCCCTGTCCCTTGCTATGAGCCTCTGCAACTTGATCAATGAGCTTGTCAGTGATTTGTTGTTGGCGTCGAGCCTCATTCAAGATGATATTTGCTTCCTCCATAGCCCGGGCAGCTTCTCGCAGGTTTGGCTCGTTGGACTCTACAGCTTGCAGGGTCTGTCTCGAGAGCTGGACCGCCTGGAAAGATTCGACCATTTTTCAGGAAATTGCGAGACAAGGTGTCGTGTCGATTCTAGGGAATCCGAGGCCTAAAAGAGATTTTCGGGCCCCGAACTAACCTCAGCGAATAGGGTACGGGCTCGAGAAGTTATGCCTTCGATGTCCCCATCTTCTGGAAGTCTCGTGTTGTTGACCTCCGCCAACTCATTGAGAGCGATCTCCGCAGCCTTGATAGCTTCCTCTTGTGACTTCTTAGCCGTCGCAACCACTCGGGCCATCATACTGCGGAGCTCCATCTGCTGTTTTTTGAGACTTTGTATGGCATCCGTCGCTCTCGTGTGGTTCGCTAGCGTCTCCTTGGCGAGATTGAAAGCAATTTGACTCTGGTCTCTGGCCTTCACAGCGTTGCCCATCGCCGAGTCGACGTCTTCTTTGATCCTGGTGGAGAATCAACGCTTGTAGCTCGGAGCGGACGGGTATATAGGATTATGAGTTCACATCATTCCTGTCCTCAATTTGGCCAGCCTCGCATGATATCTACCTACTTTCGGAAGCTTACTTGTCAACGAGACCTCGGACCTCACCAGACGTTTTCTGCATAAGGCTTGACTGCTTCGTTGCCTGTTGACTTTTTTTGCGGGCTTCATTCAGGGCTTCGATAGCGTCGCCTTCGAGGTAAGCGATGACCTGTCCGAGTAACTGTCGGTTGCGCTGTCCGGCAGTTTTCTGATCTCCGGCATCGTTACTTAGTCCGTTGTACTTCGTGATCGCCTCGTCTGCCTGAGATCCTTGAGATAGGAGTTTGTCCTGGATCTTCCGTATTCGAGTCAGAAGGTCCCGGAGCTTCCGCGCCAAGTCGACATCGGAGCGAGCAGCGTTTTTCGCTTCCTTCCAGAGTTCCTCTGCGAGGGAGGACGAGATGGAATCTCTATGTCGATTGTCGGAGCCAAGACTCACGATTTAAGTCGTCGCGGCTTGATGGAATTGGTCACTCATGAATCATGAACTCGAAAGGATTGGATGAGAACATCCTCTGACAAACCTGCGTTCCGCCGGACTTCTTCCAATTTATCCTCGAAATCGGCACTTTTCTCGGGATTCGGCTCTCGCTCAACATCCTCGAGCAGTTTGCCTATGTCCCGGATTTTCTTCTCGTGATCTGCGACCGCATCCAATACGAGCGTGTAGCAGTAGTCGCAAGCTTTGCACGTGCCTTGCTCGTAATAGGTATTCCGGTCGCATCTCTCACAGCTCCGTCCGTTGAAATTCGGGCGGCAATTGCACTGACCGCTGGTGGAGTCACACTGAACATCGATTGAGCCGACTGGGTCGCATTCACAGGCTGAAGGAGGAAAATGAATCAGGTGAGATATTCTTGAGGACACCGTCATTTTCGAAAGACTCTGATGCTATCTATCGCTAAGCACAGAAATCTCCTCGCACTCCGAAAACCGTATTTACAGAAAGCTCCTCGCATTTTGAAGAGAGGCAGCTCTAGTTTTTCTGTCAGATCATAGGTAGAGCTGTAAATTGTTCGCGGCGATCGCGGGATTCGCGGAAATTTCCGGCTACTTCCCATAGAGTTTCAATGGAGGCCGCGAATTTCCGCGAATTTTGCGGAAATTTTCCGCGAAAAATTTACATCCCTAATCATAGGCTCCGCTTGATTGATTGCTTGCTTGCTCCCTCCCAGAAAAGAGTCATGCGCAGAAGCTCCGGGAAAAGGAGCATCCGAGGGGTTATCTCTTCGAATTTCTCAATTATTTCCTGTTCCAAATGAATAGAGCTGAGCCTGTCTTCCGACGAGTATAGTCTCGTCGGCTGATAAATTCCGCTATCGGCGAGCCTAGCCGCTGGGAATATAAAAAAGAATCGCCTCCAGAATCGCGAACTTCGGAATTCCATCTCGTGCACCATTGCGTTGTCACTCACGCTTGCATCCATCCGCCGCGAATCCGTAGAAGGAGGTTTGGCACCTGTCACATTTCGGCTCCTGAACTCCTGGGAGACAGTCACATTCTCCTGTCCGAACATCACAATTTCTCCTCTTGGACCCGATGCTGTTGCAATCGCAAGGTTCACAGCCCGTTGTTGAGGAGAGATTCCAATAGCCTTCGCGGCAACTATCGCAACGAGCTCCGACCACGTTTGGTTGGCATTGGCACTGACCACTGAGCATGTCACATTCCACGATACCTGCTCGCGACGGCTCGAAGGTCCCGTCGCTCGTCAAGGCACTTGTGAAAGATTTCGTGTGCACGGCGTCATAGGGGAGGTCCGGCGTCGTGACACTTTCTGTGTGACCATGTCGAGGATAGGTCCTGCGATAGGTATATTCGTAATCAGCCTCGGAAAAGGCTGTTAGAACGAACAATCCTAGCCACTTCATTGTGGCCGTATTCGGTTGATCTGGACTTCAGATGAAAGGAGCGCGTTGCTGCGCTGGTCGATCGCAGACGCCCACGCTGACTGCCATATCAGGACTCCTCGGGCTTCTTCAGATAAAAACATTCGTCTGACGATCCAGCACAGCGAAGAAACGCTTCCCCATCGGCGAGAGAGTTCAGCGCTCTCTCAGGTGCCCGCACACCTCTGAAGTTCGCTCATCTTCGCTCCGCTCGACGTCCGGAGATCGATCCCGGAAGGATCCATGCAACTTTTGGGGAGAGATGCTTCGTTTTATGCGGTGCCAGGATGCTGATGAGAGCCTTGTACCGACTTCCGGGCCTTCCTGTAGGCGAATCGATGCTTTTGTTCAACATCGATGTTTGATGGTAATTAGCGCTCAGCGAATGAATGGGCTTCGAGAAGTTGCTACCAGGGTTCCAGGTGGGCGAGCCCGACCCTCCAACCCTCCGCGGCAGGATTAGAAGAATTCTGCCGATTCGTTCGGGGAAAAAACGGGAGATACAGACAGAGTTCAATAGCAACATACGCATCCGTGGTATTGGATTCCCTTGTTCCGCATTCGACGGACGGAGTTCGCGGGACAGTTCAGGAGTGAGCACCTCGCTTCTTCTTTGCGACAGGGGAAAATGCTCTCGCGCTGACGGTACCTCCCCACAAGTAGAAGGTTGGCATCTACCTTCAAGAGATTTCTGACCTTTTACAATGATTAGCTTTGCGTAACTGCTCCCATGATCAACTTCCCTCTAAGTCATGACCTGCGAAATGGCGGAAAATCAGCCATCTTATTTGATCAAAGTCTCGTCGATAGAATCGATTCTCTGCCATGAGCAACGGCATACACCCGCGCCAACTCCATATAGGGAATACGCGGCAAGAAGCGAAAACCATTCACGAGCCCGTTCCGACGGGAAGCAGTATTCTACTCATGTTTCGATCTCTCAGACCTTAATTGAGTCATATCGTGCTTGACTCCTCTGGGATCCGAAAACGGCCTAGTTGAGTTTGCTACCTGAGCCGAGGAACTCGACCCATCACTTCTCCAGTAGGTACTTTCACCGCTGAGACTGGACGTTATTTCCCGACTTCTGTGCTGAATTCACCACTGTGCGAGCCGCTCCCGTAGGAGTACGTCCCACGAACGCTCCCTCTGAATGCACTTTATCCCCCCTGCGTCCGTCCGAAATACGTGCGATGGGTTACCCGGAATTCTCTGTCGGATTACTCTCTATCTTGATGTTTGGGGAACGGTCCACTCTTCTGGACAGGCTCTCCCTGGCGAGGCCCGGAAATCTGGCGTTCTTGTGTGTGCCAATCAGAAGCTTACGCATCTCGGTCGAACTGACAAGCACCACAAGCGTCTCAGCGGAGTCTTCGAGTCTTCCGTAGAGACGGGTCCGTACGTCAGGCACATAGGAAGCTACAACCCACCGAAGTCCTGGAATCATAGCATTTTCGAATCCCGTCCCGATCGCACCAAGTCCCGTATTCCTCGACTGAAACTCATATACTTTAAGAAGACAACCCATAAAAATTTATTAAAGCGTGAGTTATACACTACTCCACAAAAAAACTGAAATCTTCAAATTTTTGTTCATACAAAGAATTCCCCCACGGACTTGAAGAGTTCCGTTCCGTATCCGAAGGATTCTCGGCTTCTCTCTCAATGCGGTTGTACAGCGGAAATCGCCGCCTAAGCGACGATGCCCATCTACACCGGAACCTCTAGAATGTACTCCCTGAAACAATCCTTTGGCAAAGAATCCTTTATGTCGGCGATGTTTTCAACTTCCGCCTCCAAGCGCCGGATTTCCTTCTTCTGATTCTCAATGGCTTTCTCTTTAAGTTGTTTGTCGAGTAGGAGTTTGTTAGTTCGATCTTTCGCTTGAGAGTTCCTGAATTGATTTTCGAGATCCGCAAGTCGGTCGCGTAGCTCGTTGAGCTTTTTATCATCGTACGCCTCTGTGGAACTCAACTGGAGCAGAATTGATTTCACTTCATTCAAAGCATTCGACGCGACCTGCTTCGTCTCGATTGCGGCTCGTTTAGCTTCATTGACGCTCAAGGAGACTTGATCGAGTTTCTGTTGTTCGTCGTAGATCGCCTTGCGGAAAGTCTCGATCTGGCCATTCGTTGATTGGATGCTCTCCACGATATCTTGATTTTCCGCTTCCAGCTTCGAAGCTCGTCGCTCGTTCGTGGCCATAATTTCCTTGTTCTGGCGCATGAGCTTCAAAGGGAGAATTCGAGTTATTATTCAATCACTTCGGCACTCACAGCATATGTCTCTGGATCCGGCATTTGGAATTCCCAGACCCTACCTCTTTAGCTGAGTCAGCGAGCTTTCTCACGGAAGATGCCGTCTCCTTAGAGCGCTGCATCGACGACTCGACCCCGGCCAGATCTCCCGAGACCTCGAGGTTCCTCGCCCGGACCTCATCGATTTTATTCAGGATGACCGGAATTTTCGCGATTTCTGCCAGAGCTCCTCGCTTGCGATCTCCTATCGTTTTGTCGAAATTTTTCAACCGGTCGAGTTTTTCCTCCGCGTTCTTGAAAATCTCTTTGGCCTCATCAACAGCAGCTTGCGATCTATTGAACGCGTTTTTCACAACCATCACGAGCTGGTCCGAGAATATCTGCTGTTTCCGAGCCTCTTCCACCGTTATTTCGGCCTCGACCGCAGCTTCTTTCGCTTTTTTAATGAACGGATCGTTTACGCTGCGCGCATCGAGCACTGACTTCCCCAACTCGATCGCCTGGAGCCAAGGATTAAGCGTCAGATCCCGACCGAGATATATTCAAGTGTATCTATTCGGAATCTCAGATTAACACTCGCGATCCCTAATCGACAGCCGTTGCTGCTCCCATCGGAATTTGCAGCAAGAAGTTCCCCGACACTCGGGATCGATTGCGTATTTACCTCGGCGTGCAGAGTGCGAGCTCTCGAAGTCGCTTTCTCGAAGCTCTCATCGTCCAACAATCTGGTGCTGTTGACTTCAGTTAGTTCGTTCAGGGCGAGATCTGCAGCTTTTGTCGCGTCTTCTTGGGTTTTCTGAGCACCGGCGAGTACCCTCGCCTTCATTCCACGGAGGTCGGTCTGCTGTTTCTCGAAGGTGTCCAATTTCGCCAATGCCGCCGAAGCATTCTGGATGAGGTCTCGAGCGAACTCCAGTCCCGACTCAGCATCTTCTTTGCCCTTCTGAGCATTCTCCATGGCCGCCTCAACTTTCGCCTGGGTGCTGCGGTGCAAATCATTAGTGATGTGACAACTCACAGTAATGCCTCACGAATGAATGAATCAATGAACCGGGACAATGAATTCCCCGCGCCGATCCCACATTAATGTGTCTCGAGGGGTGACTCCGGTCGCGAGCTTCTCGGTACTCACTCTTCAACTTTCGCGCGTACTTCGCCGGAGATTTTCTGCATGCTGCTCGACTGCATCTTTGCCTGCACTCCCTTCGCACTGGCTTCATTATAAGCTTCAACAGCATCGGTCTCCACGTAATTGAAGACTTGACTCATCAAGTGCCGGTTGCGCTGGATAACTTCACTCAATTCCTTCGTTTTCTCACGCAGAGTTTCAGTCTTGCCAGATATACCCTCGATCTGGGCTTCAGCGTCTTCAAGGGCCTTCTGCAACTTTTTCATCTGTGTGACCTTAGCTTCGAATTTCTTGAATTGGTCCCCGTTGAGACGTGCGACGCTGCGAGCTTCCTTAGCGAGTTGTTCTGTGAATCCACGAGATGGCTCGTAAAAATTGTGCCTCGGAAGCATCAGACGTATTCTAGCACCACAGGAAGCTTTTCTTCTTCTTTGGTGAATAATAACTGAAATACTCGGTCGGCTACGTTTCGTCAAAGGAGCTGACCCGCTGTTCGGAGAATCTCCTTCATTTTGGCTTCGAAGTCTTTGTTGTTGCTCTGGTCCTCCAGAACCGGCGTACGGCGCACGTCTTCGAGGAGCTGACTTATGTTGTGTAGTTTGCTCTCGTGCTCGTCGACGGCGTCGAGAACGAGGCGGTAGCAATAATCGCAAGCCTTGCACGTTGCTTGCTCCAGGAAGGTATTTCGCACGCACTTGTTGCAGGTCCGGCCTACGAAGTTCGGCCGACAAGTGCATTGACCGGTCTCGACATCGCACTGCATATCCGAAGAGCCGGTGGGATCGCAGTCGCAAGCTGTGAATGGCGAATTGAATTCATGCCTCAACCGTCGCAATAAGGGTAGAGAATAATTTCTTAAGCAAAGGCGGAAAGCGAAGTGGAGAAAACTCAAACTCACTCTTGCATCCTTCTGCGGAGAACCCATAATGGAGTGGTTGGCAAACATCGCATTTCGGCTCTTGGACTCCGCTCTGGCAGGAGCAAACTCCAGTCACGACATCACACATTGATCCTTTGGATCCGATCGTGTTGCAAGCGCAAGATTCACAGCCGGTTCCGGAGGCCAAGTTCCAATAGCCTTCTCGGCAGCGATCACATTGTAAGCCCTCGACGTTGAGCAGACAATCGCATTTTCCGGTTGTCATCTCGCATTCCAGGACTTTGCTTGTTGAATTCAAAGGTTTCCTCGTCCCGTCGACGTGGCAGTTGCAACCTGTCAGGGCCAAGAACGGTGAATGGGGAGTGGAATTGGGACGTCAACCAGAGAGTCGGGACGGAGTTCGGGGGAGGTCGATCGATCATGAGGTGAAACAATGCGAAGATACTCAATCACGATTGCAGACTTGCTCATCATCTCATGCGCGTGGGAGTTCTCGGACTTACTCTTGCAATCGCCTTTCTTCTCGGCCAGAGCATTTCCGAAGAAGCCCGCTTTGCAGACTTCACAGTGGTCTCCCGCGGTGTTATAGATGCACTTCGTACATTTCCCATTTGTCGTGTTGCAGTAGTTGATGGAGTCGCGGTCGACGTTCCCGTTGCACTGGCAGGGGGCGCATTCCGTCGCGGGTCCCAACAATCCACGGGGATCTCCGTAGTAACCCTCGTCGCAGCCCTCACACCTCATGCCCTTGTAGCCAGCCGGGCAGTCCATACACATGACGGTATTATCTGGTCTTAGACTACATTTGCCCTGCCCGGGGCAAGGACACGGTAGGCAATCGTCCTCTTTGCCGATGAGCGGGTTTCCGTAGAAGCCGACCTCGCATTGCTCGCAGTTCATCCCAGCAGTGTTGTGTTTGCAGATGCATCTCCCTGGAAAGGTTTGGTCCGTGGAGAAACCTTCAGGCTTCCATTACGCACGCTGTGTGTCTATGGAAGAGTCGTCCCCCTCACCTGTCTCGGAGTCACAGGAATCGGAATGATTGTTGCATTGGCAGCGATCGCATGTAGCGTAAGGACCAAGCTCGAGGCCCCAAGGATCTCTGCGGTAGCCCGACTTGCACTGCTCGCAGAATTGCCCCTGGTAGCCCTCTTTGCAGTTACACATCTCCACCCAAGGAGCCGGCTGGAAGATTCTCTTGTTTTAGGAGCTAGAGGAAGACATTGCGGAAAAAAATATCGAGGGCGAGTGATTGTTCCTACCTCCGGATCGCTGGAGTCGGAGATTGCGGTAGTGGCCGAATCGAGCGAAACTCTCTCAAGGAAGCCCTGACCGTACTCCTGGTAGGTTCCCCTGATTTTTATTTTGCGTACGTCTTTGAGAAGTTTGTTGAACTCGACGGCGGACAACACGGGTCGCCATCCAGACAACTCGTGGAGTCGCACAGAGTACTGGGTCGCTAGATTGTTCGGGGTCGGCTGTCGATTGATGTTGATAGGAGCAGAAATCCTTCTGTTGTTCGCTCCCTCGATGACTATGTCTCGTGTGGATGGCAGACCGAAGTCTGAATCGATCCTCAGCGTGAAATTCAGGAAGCGACTGTAGGAGAATCGGCGGTCTCCCAGGAAGGAATCGGGCGCCACGAAGTACACTAACGAGTTCCTCGCGTCGACGCTTATCGTTTTGTCGCTCTGTTCGTATCGCACTTGGACCGGTTCCCCGTTGTCGTTTTCCGCCGACCACTTCTCCAACCCTGCAATGGAAGACGAGGAATAGGCCAGAAGGTTTATTCTAAGGTGTAGGTACCCCGACTCCATCAAAATCTCGCCCCGTCACGGAACTTCGAGAGCAGGTAAAGAGTGAGATTGGCGGCTCACCTCGTTTGAATTCGGATAAGATGGTTTCCTTGAAGTGAGCGGTATCCGACGCACAGCTGGACGAATGACCGTGACAGAAGCAGGCAACGCAACCACGGTCATTCCCAGCGTCCAGGAAGAAGAACTTCGGTTGACAGAGATCGCAATGCTGTCCCTCGACGTTGTCCTTACAGATACAGTTTCCGGTGACGACATCGCATTCGGGCGGGCTGTGTCGACTTCCTGCGGTGTTGCACTCGCACGGCCTGAAAATCGACGGTCCGATTCACCAGAGATCATGCGAAGCTGCCGGTCGGTGTGATCGAGCAGCTGATAGAGGAGGTTCTTACTTGCATCCATCGTCGGTGAAGTCGTAGTGATTAGGCAAACATCTGTCACAGTACTGACCGCCAACCCCGGGTTTGCAGACACATTTACCGTCGGCGAGACACTGAGTGTTCGAAGATCCTGTTCCGTATGGGGGAAGGGAGCGTTTGAGATCGTTTCGCCGACTCCCCGTATAATCATCATTCTATGGCTCCACAACACGAGACGTTCTTCGCTCGTTACCTCGGGGATCACAGTTGCACGGAACACACAATCCCGTGGAGTTCGACTCGTAATAGTTCTCCTTGCATTCCTTGCAGTGAACGCCGGCTCTGTTATCTCGGCAGTTCACACACCGTCCTCCGATCTGTCCGTTGGTTTCTTCATACAGTTGGGGGTCGAAGACGCAAGTCTCCGAGCGTCCGTTGCAGTTACATTCTGGCGGAATCGAAAACGCATTGAGAATATATGCCCTTCGCCCCTCTAGAAACGCTCCTCTGCAATCATCTCTGTGATGTTATTTATTTTGAGCGATTTCAGCGATGTTCCGGAAACATTTGCGGAATTACGTTGGCATTCGTTCGCGCTCTGCGCGGTGGCTGGAGCCCACGGCCTGTTGTTGAAGAGCGGCTTGCACCTCTCGCACTGCTCTCCTTCGGTGTTATGTTCGCAGTGGCAATCCCGATATCCTGGGATGCGAGGATTCATCTTGCATTCTTTCGCGTGCCCGTTACATTGGCATCTGAATAGGGAAGAAGAGAACATTTTGCCATTTCTCCATAGCTTGGGATCTTGTTCCAAACGAGTTCTACAGGCCCCGAGAACAGACCTCTTGAATAAGGGGTGCAGCTTCAGCTGACCGTCGAGCTAACCTTGCACCGATGTTCACATCCGATATGGTGAAGTAATACGAGCGCAAAGCGCGCCTATTTTCCAGAATTTCGTCTCCGAACGTGTTCAGCGAGCGCAATGAAATCCTAATTTGAGACGCGGTCAGCCAATTCTCTCGACTGAGAATCTCCGTGTCGTCGCTGACGTCGAAGTCATCGTCGAAATCCTCCAGCGGTCGGAAAGCCACCGTTCCTGTGCGAATATAGTTGGTATCTGAGTTTTTGAATTTCTCGAGAAAAAAATTATCCTTACAGCCCGGATCCGTATATCTTCCGGAGTCGTTGGATTACCTCCCTGCAGAGGATCGGCGAGACCGTCTGACGTACAAGTCGCTCGATTCTCTCTGATGCCAGTGGTGTGTTTCCGAGAAGAGATGTCTTCCATGTCGTAGTCGGCCTCGCAGGACTTCGAGTAGTACTTGAACGGTTCCCATTCGGCCGTATCATTCGGTCTCTTATATATAGCAAATGCGTCCGGACTCGACGCGTGGAAGTGAAGGAATATGTGGTAAACGATGTACGGTCGTTCTGCAAAGGAATATTCGGTCATTCGGGACGATGCGGTAGAGGACGGTTTTGCGAAGATGTGATAGCGGGTTCCTGATGATTCCACGCAGAATCACTGAGCAATCATGAAGCGGTGAGCAACCGGAGAAAATCTACGACAGGTTTCCGGCTCAGGTAGTCGATGCCATCGTTTCTTTCGATTCGTTCGGAGCGTGGGAGCCGTCGAGAGCTTCTGGATTTATCAGCGGAAGCTCTCAACGAGAATTTCCGTTAGCTACATGACCTTCTGGCTCTTATTCATCGTAGCTCTCAAGGCGCGACGGATCCAGCAAGATTCGGACGCTGCCTCGCTCACTGTATGCGCTCGAGGATCTACGGAACAACTCAAGCCGATGCGCGGCGAAGTCGCCGGATCGTGGCCGAGAAATATTGGATAGGATGGTCCAAAGGGAGAGCGCCAGCGCTCGATCGAACTTCCGGAACGAGGGTCCGGAAATAATCCCACTCGTGCGGAATTTACATATTCGATTCAAGCGATGTTCGTTCGTGGCTGAAGCAGTCTGGGAGCTCAAAGTTCCGGCTTCGGCTCTTCGGAATGTCAGAGGGAAAAATCCTAGACCAATATCCCCATCTGCTACTGAGCTAATTTCCAGACAGCGAACGCCGCGCAAATCCTCACCGGAAAATTATTCCCCTACGGTCGTCATGTCGAGACATGCCCTGCTCCACGACTCGCGAGACATTGAACGACCACGCGTTCATTTTCTTAAGCTGTAATCTACAATGATAACTGTAACAAGATTCAGCCGAAATTGGATACTCGGCAGAGGCAGCCATTGACCGGTGACTTGCGCCGCTTTGTAAGGAAATCATTGCAGGCCTTCCGCGAATTCCATCTGGCTCCAGCTCTTTCGATACCCCTGAACTTGATTAGGAGAAAATCGGGAAGCTCCGCTAGAAGGATTCCAGTGTCGGCCGCGTGGAGCAGTGCTTGCTCGGAGACCGTGCGAAGGGCAGCAGCGCTCGGCGACGGGAGTGTCGAGCCGAACGCAGACATTCGGCAGTTCAGACCTCTAAATATAGAGAGAAAACTCTTTCCAGAACCGACTTTGTGGAGGAGATTGCTCTGTGACGGAACCTCCAGCTCACAGAGGGCTTTCCGGGAGGATTCGGCTCGCACCGGCGCTTTGGGAAGAGCTTGAGGCGCTCTGACAGAACGCGCAACTCTGGAGGCACCCCTCCGCAGAGCGCCTCTAAGACAGACCGTCCAGAGATTACACTTGAAAGTAGTGGAAACTTCGCTGAAACAATCCCGAAGTACCGCTGCAAAATCCGACTGAGCCTGTGTGATCTGTTAAAGCAGATTCATCGTCTGGGAGAGACTTATGAGAATTTCGCCTATTCCGAGAGATCGCGCGGCTATAGTCCAGGTGCTAGAAAATGTCCTCTGCTGCCGGGGATTCAAGCGCTGTGGGACGGCAAAGTCCGCTGCTTTCTCAACTTTTCACTCAGACGACCGATTTCCGACACCGCTGATTGTCTCCAGAGTCATTCGGATGCCGCGCCCGGGTGAGAGCGGACTCCTTGTATCCGCGAATAGGGTCCTCCCTCTGTCGAAGATACTCCTGGATCGAACACTGCGCGGAAGGTCGATGTAAGATAAGAAAGCAGGACTCACGGAAGTCGATTGTCAGGTTGACCGGGGCTTTCAGGACATCCTCCCAGAGCGTTTCACTCTGCCACCAGGTTTGTAGAGATTTGAAATCCGTCATGTAGCTCGGTGGGTGGGCTTCGGCAGGGTTTCGGATATCACAATGATTGTCACATCCTATATCAGATATATTCCTTGGGTTTTGTATGCAGAACTGCTGCCGCTCGACAACACCGCATGTATTGGTCGCTAACACATCTCTCTTGTAGGCGACATTTCCGTACGGTGGAAGGCATCGCTGCGCTTTCTGAAGCGTATTGTAACACTGTTGTCTGTCTTCCTGAGCGATGACGCCCAGGAGGACATTCACGAAGATCGTGACTCGGAAAGCCAAGTGGACATTCATCGGTCTTTAGAGAGGAATGAGACCGAGAACAAGCTGCAACTTGTGGACGGCAGGAAAGAGAACTGGAAAGGGCCTTCCCCGAGAGAACTACACTCAGGCGGCCACGAGGCTGGCTCCCATGGCTACTTCTTCCCGGAGTCTCAGTGTTCTGGTGCCAGTCGTTCGGCGTCGATATGCTTGAGGCGAGAATGCAGGAGGAAGCTCCGCAACCCCCTCTGACAGCGCCTCTGATCACGTCCACGCCTCGGTAGGTCGGCAGAGTCGAGGATGAACTCCCTTTAGGTATCCACATCGTTCTAGTACTCGCTCCTCAGCGCGTCGGATGCATCGTTTCGCGGAGGTATCCCCGATTAAGCGACTGTTTCGGCACGTCAAAAAAAGGTGATGGAAACAGTCGAGACGATTCTGGGCTTCACTTTCTCGAACTCCCCTCGGCAACCGTGATCATGATTCGCGACATTTTCAGAGAAGATCTCTCTGAATAGAGGCTCGATCGATCGATCGAGGAACGATGGATGCTTTTATTCAGTCGGTCTTACGCAGTTGACGCCTCAACTTATCCATAGGTACGGAATGTGTGTCCCGAAGCGCCAAGGGCCGGAATCTCAATGGAGAAGAACCACAATGAAAAGATTCGATAAGAGTTTGGAGCAGCCGATTCCTTCATGCCAAAATCTGAGGTAGCCAGCTGCTGCAAACGCCTCCGGGCTGACTGGGACGACTGGATCATTTCGGTCACGGAACCGAGAGGGACCGAAATAACTCCTTCCCGCGGCGGAAACCAGAAACGTCCCGCTTCGTTCCGTCATTTCTGACAATCCTCCCGGACGCGAAGCTCGAAGTTCAGGAAGCCTCGAAATCAACTCTCTCGGAAACAGCGACAGACAGGCGAAGAAGGGAAGGAAGGGAAAGAATTTTCGTCAGAAGTTTGGTCATGTTGAAAGAAATTTCCCCGGTCCAGACTCCAGACTTGATGGATTTAGCGGATCCTGACGCCAGTTAGCGCGATATCGTCAGTTCGCACATTTTTCCTAGCGGATTGATTCCCGGTTTCCGGTCACTCCCCTGAAGTCAATTATGTTACGGACTTGAGTTCAATGCTAGTCTCACTCACCCGAGAAAAATTCACTTGGAAGGATTCGTCGGGGGGGTAGAATGGAATCGACTCAGCACGAGGAGAGAAGTTACTTCCGGAGGAATTCTCCGCCACGCGCAGTTTCGAATTCATGGAATCGAGAAGCGAGATTCCATACCGACTTAGGGTCCCTCCAAAGAGAATTATTATTCCCGAAATGAACTTCGTGTCGGAGCTTCTCTGTGGTGGACCGATCTTATGTGACCGGGTGGCATTCTTCTGCGGCGAAAGTAACGACTCGACTCCGAGCCCGGTGATCACGGAGCCGGAAGTCCTTCCCCACAGCATGAAGTCGTCTGAAGCTTTTGTCGATCTCCATTCTCAGCAGCGATGGATACAGGAATACCCAGCTGTTATCATAATTGAAATCGATGATCATGGTCAAGAGTCAACCCACGTAGCTCCCAGGGAAGACCACTACTGAGGCCATTTTATCTCGAGAACTTCGGAAGCTCAGGCGCAGTCCCGGGGCACTGGACCTTCTCGACTTGAACATCGGAACCTCCCAAAAGCAGCCAGTCCCGCTGAGCATTCGGTACAGCGAGCGCTCCATGCAGATGCTGTCGAAGCTCGGTCAGCTGTCTCGAGCGGACCATGTTCGAGCGCGTACTTGGCATCTTCACATCTTTCAGTGAATAACTTAGGTTTAAATGTTGGACAATTAAATAAATATAAAGTCAGAAATCCAAGAAAGCTATCCGCCCTGGAAACCAAGCGTCCCGAGGGCCCGTGACTGGAAGACCCCTTCGCGAAGACCCCCCCTCCAAAGTCTATTAGGTCTCGAGTTGCCCCGCCGTACCTCGATGGCGATTCGTTCTCGAACGAAAACAATAGCTCAAGGATTCCCGACTCTGCATTCGATTCTTCGTCCGATTTCCCACGTCGCTCTCCCACACACCAGTGGACTCGATCACAAAGGGATCCATCAAGAACTCACCGCTGAACGATTCATACTTGGCCCGTAAGTGAAGCATTAAGAGGGAGAAAAATCTTGGTCGATTGATGGAAGTCTCCTTCTGGGATATAAAGCGCCTTGGCTCAACTATTAGCGGTATCTGACCGTCTTGATGGTAGCCTTCGGGGCTATAAGTGGGAGCGGGAGCCATTATGCGGGTAATCATAGTGTAGGGATCGCAGTTTTTTTGCATTGAGCTGGCTATTATCACATTTATTTTGTAATAAATTAACAATCATTCTATTATCACATTTATTTTGTAATAAATTAACAATCATTCATAAATATACAGCTTATATACACTTCATGCTTTGTACAGAGTTGCCGGTACTGTCTAGTACTCGTCTAACAACATCATTTGCAGGACAATTTCGAGTCAAAATTTCCCGTTCGATTCGGAAGGACCCGATTGAGATCAGTAATTCCCTTCGCATCGCTCAGAGATCAATAGGAGGCATTTCGAAGATGGGTTCTTCGAACCCGAACCGTTTTTCAATCGAAATTTTCTGTGAATCATGGAGAAATTCGGAGAACGGAACTTCTGAGGAGAAGAGCATGATTCAGGCCTGGATAATTTCTTTATCTTTCCCTAATGGGGAAGGAGTCCACGAAAAACGATCGTCGTTGTGGAACATTTTGTAAGGGGGCGGAGGCGCGACGAGCCGCACGAAGTTCGGTCTCCCGATCGGCGGATATTTGACCGAACCGCTCTCGATGTCGTTTGCAGTGACGCCCGATCTGGACTTCCTACAGAACGTGAGGCAGAGCAAACCGAAGAGTCCAGTCAGAGCTACCACAACGATCGCGCAGTATACGAGGAACTCCTCGTCGATACAGCGACCGTTACACCTAGCTCGCGGGACTGGGACCTCCCCATGCGGCTTCGTGTAGAAAAATATGGTTTCACTTTGAGCAACAACATCCGGAACGTCTCCTCTGATGGCCTGGACCTTGACCTGATACAGGGCGTTGGGCCACAAGGAAACAACGGCGGCGTTCTTTTGGGTGGTGAGATGTCCGGTGATATCAAACGAGTTCTCAACCCGCTTCCACTCGACCTCGTAGGTGATGTCCTCATCGGTGAATCTCGGCCAGCTGATGTAGGCGTCGACCTCTCTCACGGTGAACTTCCGCGAGAACTTCAACGAGTTCAGAGATGGAGACCATTGCTCCAGTTTGAAATCGTGCAACGATCTCTCCATCTCGGCAACTTTGCCATTCGAGTCGTAAGCGGTCAAGCGGATGTTAGAGAAGAGCCGGAGGAAGTCCCTGGAGATGGTCAAGTTGTGGAAGTAGGTTTGATCCAGAATTTCCTCGGCAGACCCATCGTAACCGGTGAGAACGTAGACCAGGGGCTCGATGCGATCGTTGCCCTCAGGACAGGTCCAGCTGAGGAGCACCACATTGTGCCGATCGTCGACTTCGTACTTGAGAGGATGAGTGAAATGGGTATCGGTTCGCGTTGCCTCGATGAGCTCTGAATGAGAGTTGTAGAAGCGGCAAGATTCCTGGCATCCTTCGGTCTGAAAATAAAAACGCTCGTTTTAGCTTTCCCGTCTCGAATATCGCTCGGCTCTGAGGAAGTTTGGCTGCAGTAATTGAGAGGCCATGTCGTGCTCGTCTACCGCATGACAGACAGCAAGATAAATATTTATATAATAATTAAAATGCGCCTCGACCATCCATCAAGCGAACATGACGTTATCTCAAGACGCTCCACTTGCTCATCAAGCACAGCCAGCACGAGAATGCCTTCGCCAGGATGATCTTCTAACAACCGAAGACCAGCTGATCTACCTGCCCGCTCGCCTGACATTGCGCTCGTCTGCCGAGAAATCGGGCACCCCAGGAGAAAAAAAACAATTCTCGAAGGCATTAGAGCTGACATCTCGCACCTGGCCGAAGAGATCCTCCATGCTCTTGGCAAGACACATCGATCAGCGACAGACACGCACTGGCCTCGGACTGATCAGATTGTTGGAACGAGATCGGACGCGATACCGCGAGTTGCGGACTTAGGTTTGTTGCAACCGTTGGTTTCGGCACACGTTTCTCCGAAGTCGGAGGAAAAGTGTTTTCGTCGACACTCTTGTTCGATCGCCTCCGAGTTCATCTTGAAGGACGGCTCCGGAGGCGGAAATCCGTTTTAGGGCGGCGCAACATAGAATCTGACGATCGCTGCCCGGTTCTGGGTTTGCTCTGCGGGCTTCGTCCAAGAGCGAAACAAGATTGAAGTCGCGATAATTGTCCGCTGTTTGGACTTCGCTTGGTCGTCGCCCATCGGACCGGTCGACTTCGTCCGCTCGTCTGACGAAGAGAACGAGAGGCGGGCTCGCTAAACAAATAGTAGACGAAGTACGTCAGCCAACAGCGTGGGGCCTCCTCCCAGCAGGGTCTTCATCGAACAACCAGAAGAACACGAGGCTGTCTTGTTTGCGTTTGGAGTCACGAGAGGAGAACGTCTCAGGCGTCCGTATATACGTTGCTCGGTAGGTTGCTCCGTCCAGCCAGGTATCAACAAGAAAAGCATCAGACACACACGAAGCGTCAACAAGGAAACGCCTCCTTTAACCTCAGTCAGACCGATGAAGCAATGAGCCGGTTCCGTAAATTCTCAGACGTCTAATGGCGATACGGCGACGTCGAGTCTGCTTTCATAGCCTTCAGGAGCGTTATTTTCTCCTCTAAGTTTCGAAAAACACGGACGGACGAGAGTTGAGAACTTCCACCGAGAGAAAGCGGCTGGGGAAAAGAAAAAGCGACCGGATGACTGACGATGACGGCAAAAGACGAAAACTCATGGAATACGCGGAAATACGGTAACCTGTGCGCAACGTATAGCGTGACGACAGGCGATCTTGGTCGTGGAGACGAACATCGTCAAGTGCAGCGCCAAGCCGGCATTGGTTGCGCAACGAGCGTAGGCATCATCGGTGAATAAGAAGAAGAACGAAGATAAAAGCAAAAAGGAGGAACGACACTATTTGAAGAGAGGTAATGGTCCCAGACAGCGTCGTACTAACCGACCGAGAAGATAAGATAGCAGAGCTGTCAATGCATAGACTTCGGTCTTCTCCGGCCTGCATCTCGCCCGCCCGCCCGACTGCCTGCATCAAACGAATCAGATGGCCAGCTATAATTTGTCCCAATCGTCGCTTTGACACGCGTCTTCAGGTACAGATAACAGCTGACAGTCCGAGGGAGATGACAGTTAGGCGCTTAAATCGGAGTTCCAGAGATTAGCTATCGAAGCAAAACCGGAGAGATGGGCAAGAACGGATAAAAAACTCGACGAATCTGAAATCAAGTGATTTTCTAGCCCCGAAATCAAAACGGGGTCCTCTCGCGGGAGAACCCGCTGACATGGGGACGTTTCGGTCCCGTAGGGGAACGTCCGCGTGTTTTTGGTAAATTGAATGTTCGTTCGCTCGCTCGTTGGCTGGCTGACGGAACCACTGAAACACAGGACTCGACGGGTCGGGCCATACTGGGGTGCTTACTGCCCGTTGCCGTGAGCGGCCGCAACTGCTCCAGCAGCACAAAACGTCTAAGGCTGTGGTCACGGAATCTGCTCTTCAAACAGAAAACGACGCAATCTCGTTCTATCTATGAACGGAGCCGGCCAGCCAACACGCCCCTATCGGCCGGAGAAATCAATTTTCGCTTCAACTTCATGTTCTTAAAACAAATACTCCTCGCTGAGACGTCTGTCGGGGCTTGCTGATATCATCGTCGAGATCAGGCTGCACGACGACCGGGCGGGCAACTGCACAAGTCGCTCATCACGGGCACAAGCAGGGCCGGTCGTTTGTTCGAAACCCAGTCTCGGAGCAAATCGTCTTGCTGCGATCTCGACCCTCGGGAAGTCCAACTTCGCTATTTGACATCTTGGGACAAGCACTCGAGACTCATAAAATAGTATTGAAGTATAAAGCATTATTAATGGTAAATATCCCTCTCCGACATCACAATCAGCTCGAACGGAATCGGCGACATTTACGATTCTTCTTCTCCGGGCATATCGTATAGAGGCGGTCAATTACGATCAGAGCTCGAAAACGTATCATAGAAGAGTTCAGAAGACGATTCCGATTGACAGAAATTCCGATCCGCTGTACTCCGTCGGGCGGTAAACGCGCATCGGAATTTGTCGAGCCAATTATCGCGTTGTCGACTCTTGTTCGAGCCTCGCTTAATGTTTCTTTTGAGAGAGAACGTGGCGCTTGCGAAGAAAGAAGTCCGTTTTCGTTTTTTCCTCTCCCTCACGCAGGTAGAGAGCCTCATTAGGTTGCGGAGGAAGGGCGCCGATGGATACAGCTGGGTTCGTTCGACGAAGAGGCAGAAGCCATAAACTTTACGAGGAGCTAGTTAACGACTCAGCCAAACGGGCATCGACTTCAACACTAAACTTCACCGTTCTCTCGTTCCTCCTATATCATGGGACGCCGTTGTCGTCGCCGCTACCGCTGTTTTTTCTTCTGTCGATCTGTCCGTTCGCCCGTCAGCACGCTTCGGAAGATCGCGACTCGGACTTTGACAATTTAAAGTTCTCCATTCGGAAAAAAACGATCGACAGGAGCATCAGACGCTGGGGAATCAGCCGGGGAAAAGCCGATGGCAGGACAAAAGTATAAAGCAGCTCGGAGGTACGGTTACATCGAGTCCGATCAGCATGAAACAAGAAGGAAACGTAGGCGATTCGACTGGCTGTCTTCACGTCAGGTTCAAATTAGGGGGCCGAGCCTTCAACGAGGAGAATCAGAGAAGCCAGCGGCAGCAGCCAGCAACGGCACAGACGAGCGTAACGACGCCAACAACAACAGCGACGTCGACAACAACGACAACGTTTTGACGAGGAAGACTACGCGACGACGAGACACAATCACCGGGACGGGCGGCATCTATCCGCGCCTTCATCCATCCATCCATCCATCCATCCAACACGCCGAAGAGCCAAACACTCCTCAACTAGATGGAAGAAGAACTTGGAGACAACCGACGATTTCTGATGACGGCAGCGGTGACAACGATCTTCGTCGTGGCCACGACGTCTTTTAGCCAATCTAGATCGGCTGCGGCCGCGTTCGCCGGCAGCGTCGGCGGCACCAACAGCAGATGACGCGTTACTTTCAGATCTCAACGGCTGCCTCCTGTTGTTCTCTCGTCGCTGCTAGTTCTACGTTTGAAAGCTTCCGCCCAGCGTCCATTCTCGCTTCGGATTGGGGGGTGTGCATATACACTAGGTAGGTAGACCAGCTGGTCAAGTCATGAACACCTCGTCAAATCGAGCGTCTCTGAAAGCCGCCGCCGCCGGCGTCGTCTTCGTTATCATCGCCACCATCGTTGAATGAGCATTGAACGATTTCAGTCGGATCTATCTTGAGCGGTCGTTGTCGAGCTCGCCGGAATAGTAACGACAAGATCAAGGAGTGTTTTCCGAAGCATCGGAAACACGAAAATGCGCGGACTTGTCGTCAACTCAGACTTATCGACGAGGCGGAGCGTCGCCGAATGGCGTTCTCAGACGATTGGAACGAGGGCTTCTAGACGGGGAAAATATCGACACGGAGGAAGCGTTTCACAGAAAACAGGAAAACATTCGAGAACCGAACGTCCGCTCCGCTGTGTCAATAAACGAATAAGACGTCGACCGAAATCGGGGCCCTACGGAGCGCCCGCTGCCAAGCAAGTCGTCCACCGTCCATCCCCCATCCAACGGCTATTTCGTCTTCGGAGAACTCTTCGCAGCGACTGCCGGCCGCCGCCATCATCGCCCGTCGTCGTTGTTGTCGTCGTTGCCGCCACGCCAATACCGCCGCGGCGGCTGACGCTGCTGATTGGGTGATGACGGGCCGAGCGGACCTCGTAATTGTCCATGGACGGCTGAATAGAGCACTTCAGATTGAGGTGGCTCTACTTTCCGTCTCTCTTCGTCCCTCGTCGTTTCTATCGCTGTTACGTTTCTACGCGCGCACTCACGGACAGGTAGACACTAGGGGAGGGTGGTGTCTCTGCTCAGCGAGATCCTCACCCGAGCCTCCACGTCCAGAAATCGAGATCAAGCTTATGTACACTGCAGGAGCCGTTCGTTCGAAAAGGGTTCCGTAGATGGGGTACTCACGCAAAGAGCTCCGTTATCGCAGATTTGGTTCCACGCGTTCACGTTGACGTCTCTGTAGAGCTTGTCGCAGAGCGTCCAGCACTGAAATCGAGGAAGAACATTGAGATTAGAAGATGGACCCTCTCTAACGCGAAACGGATCTGATCGCTCCCAACAAGAGCTGATGGATTGCTCGATGTGCGATTGAATAATTATTTTTTCGAGTTCTCATCAATGCCCTGAGCATGACCGTCGTTGAAATCGCCGTCTCGGGGACTGTCTGGCAGGAGCTGCCTCTCACATCAGGGCGGCGGGGATATTCTTTCCGATTCGGTCATGTGTGAAATTCTCCGTGCTAAATACAATACTCCGGGAACCACCAACTGTCACCAGAGACGCCCTGGTTGAAACCGGAGTCAACCGACCGTATTATCGTATGCATTGTACCCTAGCAATACTCTCATTCTTCGTCTCCCCCTAGTTCCTCCCTTCTACCTTGCTCGATCCGTCGTAGCTGGTTCGCTCATACATCAAGCGAGAATTAGCCATCACGAATACGAGTCGCTATTGTATGTGTTGTGAGCCGCGCTGTCGTCGCCTTGCGAGAGCAGCTGAGCCAACAGCCCGTAATACTGTTCCTCTCAAGCCGAGGACGCGACGAATGTATTCATGTTCGGATTCGAGAAAAAAAAACGAGATCCGCGAGTGAAACACGAAACATCTTTCGACTAAGACGATGGCGGCGGCGACGACTCCGTTGCAACAAATGTAGGAATTTGTCGGATGAGCGCACATCTTCCGCCTTGCTGCTTGTTATTCTATGAGAGGTCGAAATCTTTTTTTTTCTCCGTTCTCGCGTCCCATTGATCCTGAGAACTGGGTAGCACACATATCCTGACGCAAACAGATGTCACACTGAATAGTGATTTCGCTCCAACGATGGGTTCCAGGCACGAGCATCAGGGTTTGCGACTTGTGATTCATGTTCCGTTCACCGTCGCGACGGTCCCACTCTCATTCCGAGCACCGCTCTCGAATGTCTCGAAAAAAACGTGAGAGATACTTTCAGCTTTGTACTTACCGACCAACAGGAGAAGCTATCCGAGCAGTCCTTTGTGGGAGCGTCGGTGACGAACTGCAACGATGAAATACGGCTTAGCCTAGGTGGTTTACTCCGCTTCATATTTATCCAACACAAAACATACGGATCGGGTTACTGGGGTAGCCCGAGCCAGAGTCGTCTGGGGCACCGACTCGGGGCCAGAAGGAGACATTCAATGTCTCGTCGGAGGCCGTTCGAGTGAACGGTTGCAAAATGAGCTCGAGTGATAGTCAAAAATACTATATGTATCGAGATGCGTCGTCGAGGACTTTCGAAACCCGACAAATTCACGACGGTATCCGAGGCCAGGAGCTTGACGCCTGATTTCAGATGAACGTGCTCGGCAGGCTTTCGAAGCCCGTCAGAAGGATACCCACTGCGCGGCGTCTACGATGCGCGAGAATTCGAGACAGCCGGCTTCAGCGAAAACCGGGGGACAAAAACTTTGACGTGAATTGCTCTGGATCAGAAAAAAAAGGAGAGTTTCAAAAAAATCGTCAGGCCTATCGAACGGATGAGCAGTCGCGTCCAGACACTTTTGACAGCTGGAGAGCGATTTTCGTCATCGAGCGAAATTCTGAGGAACGTCTCGTACCTGGGCATCAGAACTTCGGTCCGAAATTTGCAAACATCTGAGTGGTCGGCTAACCAACGGTCGATAGCCTGAGTAGATAAGGGATTGGAGGCCGCGAATCTATCTGTATCAGACTAGCCAGATGGCGGGCTCCTCGATGCTCTCTTGTTACCGCTCCGCATCAACATGGCTGCGAACAATTGCGACAGGAACAAGGGACAATAGATTGTTTGTGTTTGACTTTGACATTCGCTCCCTCGCTCGCTCGTTTGCATGCATGCATGCAACAATCGAGAGATGGGACTTTTGTGAATTAGCTGCGGCGCCGGCGTCCGTATAGAGGCCACAGGTCGCTCAGTATACGGGACATCGTGAACAAGAACTCAGTGGAGCGAAAATTTGTAATTTGCCGGAGAAAACGCAAAAAACAACCGTACACGCTCCGGTGGATCCGTCAAGATTGAAGACCACCACCGAGAGAAGACACACGGCGATCATCCGAACACCGATCGCAGCTCGCGTACAATTTCACTCGACGCCGTAAATCCTCTCGAGACTTCTTGAGCGAGGCGTTGACCGAGGGAACTCGTTCGTGCACTGTCTCTCTAATCCCGGTCCAAGCGAATGATCTCCGGAGATTGAACTAACCTTGTTGAGGCACTGAGCTCGACATCTCGCGGTCATGACAGTTTTCTGTTTTGTTGGCATCGAATCACCGGACGTCAAGCCGGCGACAAGTAAACTCACTAAGATTGGAAACAACATGTTGTTCTGTCCTGTATCCGAGATCGAAACTTTTCACGAACTTCACGAAGTGAAATTACAGCTCCACGAAGATTGTGAGTGAGGATCCACCAGCAGACGCCGCTTATATGGACTTCGGAGAGGCGAGAGGGTTTGGGTGAGAGAGAGAGCGCCTTCACGAAGCTCCGCCGCAGACCTCATGAGACTGGACTCCATGCCTTAAGTTGGAAGTTCATGCGTGGAGTCCATCCAGGTCGAAGGAATGGATTTCCGAGGGAACTTTAGAGCGTACGCTTCACAACCTCCTTACTGTTCTTGCTTGGAACGGAGAAACGTCCAAAACTCTCCGCATACTGGGAGCTGTATCCGGAAAATGTGCGTCGGCAAGAAAGCGATTGCACACACGAGTTAATGCTCAACAGGATCAGGAACACCAAGATGGCAAATACGAAAATCGCTCGCTGCTCATTAGTAAGGGGGGAGAAGTTCTGATCGATACTCAGGGAAACTTGAACGTCCGAATTGTCGTATTTTCGCGGAAACATTTGTCGAGTGTCCGAGGGTCCGTTCAATATACCCCCGTTGAGCACTTGTAACCTGTCTTATGATGTAGCTGACAGTCTGTTGACGGAGCTTTCAATGGAGCTCCGTCCGGTTGACGCAGTTGGATACTCGAACGATCCTCAAGTGGATCTGAAGGACGGCATCGATCCTCAACCTTGAGAAGATTCGTCAATGTAGCGCCCAGACCTGATTTCGAGAACTCAAAACTGACAATACAACGAGCAACAGGCAAACACTTCGAGGCGACAGGCGCACACTAGGTCGTTCGAGAGCGTTTTTCAAACTAAATAGATAGCTTGATAAGCGACTCCGATCTATTCGGATTTCGGATCATCGTGGTTCTAGCGCATGTGGTTTCGGGATTGAACATGATTACACGACGAATTCAATCACAACTACATACATAGATACTCTCCACTCTCCACCACACAAAAAGCTCACCGCAGGGTCATATATTTCCTATGCAGAATTGACTTGGTCGGTAAGTCTGTCTGCTTGCTGTTCGAACAATAGGAACTCGAGAGCCAGGGCAGCGATATGTCGTACCATTGCATCCAAAAACGGATGCTCCGATTTTGGGTTGCATCGACAGCGATTTGACGTTTACCTCTGCTTCATTTGTTGACAGCCTGCCGACAGTCGTTTTTTGCTTCCCTATTCAAGCGGAACGTGCCGTGTTCGTCTTCTTCGACTTGAAGGAGAGAAAAGGGATGGATTCGAACTCATTTCAGCCGCAAGTTGACCGTGAATCGAGAATGAAACCGACAGGATTTCGCAGCGGAGAAGCACAACGGGCGGTAGTCTGGTGAGCACTCTGGGGATTCGCGGGCGTACGACTGCTGGTCGCATTTCTCGGGAGAAACACAGCCGTGAACTTCATTAGGCTTTCACCATTGGGCCGAGAGACAACGCAGCGACCCTCGGCTGCAAGGTGCCGCTTTTTTCCTGAAATCCGATTTCTGACAGCTGCGCCAGAATTGAGAGGACTCCGTCGGTCGACATTCGAGAAACCGATGCGAGAGCTTCTCACTTGTGCTCGAAGTTGTTCGCGGCTGCCGCTTCTGCGGTTTTCGTCCGAGGTGGAATTTTACACCTGGCTACACTTTGATCTCAGTCTCTTTTGTGGTCGGCCAATAAAACCTGCAGGGCTAGAAACGGTGCTCGCGTCGGCAGCAGCGTCCTGCACTGTACGACTGAGATCATAGTATACGTTTTCCTTTGTGATTCGGAACACTGAAAACGCTGCCGCGTCCATTGTGTCGGGTCATCGATGCTTTAAATTCGCGTTGGAGGTGGAGACATTCTTCTTGAGGTGTTCAGAAGCTTTCTTCGACAATTACTCGAGGAACACAATGATGCCTTCTCATGTCACATTTTCGCATATTGCTCTCACGCGGTCTGACTCTGCCTGATTCGAGTCGCTGTCAAAAATTCGGGTCGCGAGCTCCAGTCCGTGCGTCCACAGTTCCGGTATTGATGTAGCGGGCCACGAATGCTATCAGGTGCGCCGGCGAATTTTAGAGTTCGAGCGGTTCTGTGCCTCGAGCTTGGTTGCCGGAGCCTTCGATTTCTTATTCGTAGGAATGGATGTGCCGACGAGAGGCGATTCGAAAAAACTTGTGGTGGCCATCGACCGAGTAGGTGGGTTGTTTAGGTCCTCGCTCAGGTGCTATGAAGAAGACATGAACCGTTTGGCTGCTGCAATGTGTGGTACTGGACCACCAGGTAGGGGTCTCATCCTCACGAAGCGAACGGCGATCTGCCGAAAAAAGATATCTTCGTTCATCTGCGTGATTGTAGGCGCCGCCTATGCTCTCGCTACATTAATAGCAGTTTTCTCTCTTCTCCTCCGTCTTCTTCTTTTTCCTCCTTACGCATCGGCACTCGGCAAGTGGTAATTGCTCCTGTAAAGCTGGCTACCGGATCTGATATTTATTCTCGATAGATGCGGAGAGGGCCTGCCAATTAAGGGTATCAGCTTAGAACTTTATTTTTGCGAAGAGTTCCGATTAGACGCCCGTTCGCTACAGACAAGAATCAGGAAAAATTCTCCCCGCTGAGTCGGTCAGATTCCGTAGAGCACTCTTCGAGATCAGGCGACCCTCGACACGAGCTGAGAGAGGAAGAGAGAGAAAAATTCAAAGTGCAAACACAAGTTTCTGAACGACGGCAGTACCCGAAGTACTCAACGTCGTCAAGGCATCTGGCTGCTGAAAGCCGTCCGAATCAAGGATTATGAGATTATTTCGTGCTCTCAGTCTGGGCTTTCAATGGCGATCAAGTGCACAACGCGGGCTGCTCGCTCTGGATGGAACGCTGTAAAGCATGACTGACTGAGAAGCGAGACTGTGAAATGGTATTGGGTTTGCAGGGCTTAGCAACGAGAATGACGCTTCAAAAAAAAGCATAAGCCGGCTTTTGTAGAGCGAGTTTCCTTCTTCTGGGGTGTCGGAGCGAGGTGTTAGAAGTCTGCTGCTCGTAGCAATGTACTCCTGCAGGGCGAACGCTTCGCCCGGTCCCTCCATTGACTGCATGCAGAACTTCTCGAAAGAGTACAAGCGCTTGGATCAGCCGCAGACTCGGTACTTGCTTGGAGATCTCTATCGAGATCGCGGGTTGAGGTCGCGCTTTGTCGACCAACAATCGCTGACTGCGGCGTTCGGGACCGCGCTCTCGCGGGAATTTTGTTCACGTTCCTGTTCTTCATTATCTTTCGGAGGCTTCACAGACTGAGCTCATTGTGTTGAGCTGTTATTTGGCCAACTTTGAATTCTTCATCAAAAGCACCATATGGTCACAAGCCACAAGTTTCCTGCGATGCGAACAAATTAGATACGATCTCACGAGCGACAGCCGCGAAGAGAACGAACAGAGACGATCTGGCCAATTGAATGTTTGTCTCTTCTGAATCGCTGGTCTCGTGTCCGAGAAGGAGAATTTCGAATGGATAAACATCTTTCATAACCCCACGACATCAGGAGGAGGATGGTGGAAGCCGTGATCGCCGTGAAAACCTAATTGCTATTGACGCTAAAAGACCAGAAATAGCGGGTTGTCTCGTCGCCCATAGGCGCAGCTCTGATCGGAAAGCTCCACACTCCGTGCGTGCTCCTGCTCCGAATATGGGAATCGGCGGTGCTTCCGCCAGAAAAAAAGAAAGATGCTCTCTCACCCCCTTTCCCTAACCCCGGTCCGGGTTTCCCCGTCCCGGGAGCTGATAAGATGCGTCTCATCGGCCGATCCGCGATAAGGCGCTGTTTCTAGACTACGAAGTTCAAGTCAGAAAGACAGATTGTTTCGAGTTCTCCGAAATTAGAAGGGGGTTTTAAATACTCGATCCCGGCGCGAGCCTTCCAGTCTCCTCGGCGACGCCGACGGCAGGAAGCCTCTCGCCGTAACTCCATACGACTACCTCTTGCTCACATGCTCGTTGATGTCGCCTTCACCATCGCCGCAGTCGTCGTCGTCGTTTCTGTTGTTCTTCGGCTTCTTCATCAATTCGGATTCGTTGCTTCGGGCGGTCGGCGGGAGCCGCCGTTGAGGCCGCCCGTGGAGTTTTTGTTGTAGTTCTCATGTAGAGGGGTATTGATGGACTGCCCGCGTAGCACCTCGGGGCGACCTTTTCGAATTCCATGCTCGCCTTCCTCAACAGATTGTTGATGAGAGGCGAGTTCACTCCTCATATGAATCGATCTATTTCGCCCCCGTTTCAGCAGGAGAAGCTCAGGGCCGTCGTAGGAGATGGAAACTCGAAAGGATGCGACAGCGAGTTTTTCCGAGCGAATCATCAACACTCTCTTTGGCGATATGTACATCGATGAAATTCTCGGAAACCAATGGTCAATAGCACAGACTCGGCGGCGGAAATCGGTACAGAACCCATTCGGGAGTTTGCGCAACACTGTTTGATTGTATGAGCCTGTTCGAAATACCGCAAAGAGAAAGCAAGCGAGCAACCACCCACCAGACGGAATGTCATTGTACGCCCACTGGCCAGGCTTTCGGGTGGTATCGGTGCGTAGCCCAGTCGGTCCTGGTCAAACACACCACGATACGGATGAGTTTCGTGCGCGGAATCGACGCCTTTTCGATAGAAGATTTCTCACTCCTGTACGCAAGCACCGATGATCATTTGAGTTTGGAACGTTTCTTCTATATCAGGTCAGATCGCAGACCCTCTCACTGAGTGACTAGACGTATCGGTTCTCCGCGGATCTGGGGGTCTACGGGACTCTACGAAGATCGTCTATCAGTCCCCCCGAAAACCGTAAGGGATTTTCACGCTGTCTGCTCTTGACTGATGCCGGTCCTCTTGTTGAATAGAATCTCCGGAGTTCGTCTTTCCCTTCTCGTCGACTGATCTATCTGACGTATTCTCAGCGCCCGAAGATGGAATTCTATCGCTCAAGGTGGCTACACATCAGATGATACCGGTGTGGAGACAAAGGACATCAACAACAATAATGGTGGCGGCGGCGGCGGCGACTCAGGCAGTAACAGCAGGAGAAGCGACCGGAGCGACAGCAAGAGCAGCCGTACGTCGAGCAGAGAAAGATTTCGAATCTTAGTGAATCCCTCTCGTAGCTAGTCACAGTTGAAAGCCGCTCCGGCAGGCGCTTCGGGCTCCTTTGAAGATTTTGAGAAGCCGATGAAGTAATTCACTGAATGATGGATTTATGGATTCAATAGACACCACTGCTCTCATTTGCCCGAGCTTGACTCCGGGGGAATCGCGAGAGAAACAAAGATCTACCCGCGAAGGATCTGCCTGTGCCCCTTGAGATCGGAGTCGAATACGCGACCATGATCATCGTCGAGGGATAAGATCAGATCATTCTCTATCAAGAAGGTATCACGAGCCCCGATAATTCTTATGAGCAACGCCGAAGAGTCCGAACATCGGAAATCGTTCCAACAGCTCCTGTGTGAGAGCCAGAAGGGTCCAATCACGAAGCTCGGGTCGGCTTTCAAGACACCGGGGGAACTCCGAGCAGGAACCGTAATGTTCACGCGAAGGAATGTGTCTCTTCGTAAGTCCGAAGAAGAAGCATGCTTTCAGCGAACCGAGGAGCGAACAAACAGATCTTCCATGGATCTGGGATTCCGTGCGAGGCGTCACCGGCATCGCCGCAACAGTCGTAAGCATCGGACAGGGACGATTGTAAAAATAATTTATGGAGCTTCAGATTTTGACATCGCGATAATCAGAATGACGTTTCAATCGCCGACCCCCCAAAGCGATCGTCGTCGAAGGGGACGTCCATGAATTATCGTCGCGCGCAAGCGGCCACGATATTGTGGTGAGCAAGCAAAACGAGAAGCGCAGATCTCCATGCCGAGGTACGCATTGCTCTGCTCTACGGGCCGAAAATGAGTCGAGTTCCTTTTCGGGAAGCTCCATGTCCGCATCGGGGAAAGGCGGAATCACCAAGATCATTTCTCGAGAACTCTCAACGAGAACGAACTCAAGAGCAAAGCTCCCTCCGGTTTCTGTTCGGCTTTATCTAGACTGAACCTTAACGGTCATTCGATTCAACCATGAGCCGTTGATACGGTGGACGCACGACTGTTGAATTTATTTTCACTTAAGAGCATTAAAAGCGAAGTCAGCTTCGCTTGAACCTACCCAAACGACACGGCCGACTCTCGAGTGTGAAGGCACTGAAGTGCTCAAACACCGCCTCTATGCGTTGATAAGAGGAAGCGAGAAGCGTCATAAAGAGAGATAATGCGTCTGTTTCTGGTTCCGTCGGAGGTGTCAGACATAAAGTAGTGCCTCGGAGTCGTTTAATAAGATGCGAACTGAAGGAAAAGTCAAAGACCTAGACTTCCTGGCGTAACGGGTCTCCTTAACCATGTGATTGTCACCCAAACGAAGAATTGTAGCTTCTAAGAAGTCAGGATCTGCTCCAGAAGAGTTCCCGCCCCCCCTTCACGATAACCCTCCCCGACGTGGGATCAATACAGGCGAATGGTCCATCCTCGACGATCCGCCTCATCCGATATCGATTCCGGACTTCATCGAGTACCATCCCCTTGCCTCAAGTTTGTCATCCGCAAGGCCCGGGGTCACGAAGGATTGTCAGGGCGGGAAGGTTGGGATGAGGAGGCGGGACAAAGACGAGCTCCGCCGAAATGGTTCCAAGGAACTCAATACCTGTACGAGCGCGTCTACGGAGTGCGCGGATTGCTTCCGGAGAGCTTGTTTTGCTCGGGAAGCGCCGGTAGCGCTGAGCATCGGACTGTCTCACCAGTCTTCGACCTTTCTGGCGATCGATGGAGTACCGCGCGAAAAAATACTTCAAAGTCGTCCTCAATCCAACGCCTTTGAGCGAGACGGGGACCTCCGCACTCATGCGACCTCGGAGTGCGAACAAATGTCGCCCAGTCTGCCGGATCGACTCGGTTTTTCGTAGATGAGACTTTGGGAGGCTTGCACGAGCGAGAGACATGCGCCCTGTCTGATTGGTATCTGGTGATGCTTTTAGCCAAGAGCATCATGAGTAGGATCTCCTCAATTGGGCAACTTGCATTTGTAACTCCCTTTCCGCAATCACACTGCGTAGCTAAGTCTTGTCATCAAACATTTTAAACTCCTCCCACCCAAACAGATCATGGTTAAGAGGGGTAATCTTCGGGAGGGAGATCCCTGAAATTCGGGAGCCGGTGACGAAGAATCGATGCGATCGAAATTGAGACCCTCCCTTGAAACGGAAGTATGTGGTAGCACACGGTTGGCAAGCCACTGAGAGACGAATTGACAGCCAGCGAGTTCGACTAATTATCATTTCGTCACGAAAAGCGCTGTCGATTCGAATGATGGAATCATTGCCAAGAAAATCCCCTCCGCTTTTGAGGAGATGCCGAAGCTGTTTTCTTCGTTCAGAGTCCCCTCTGACAGCCTTTCAAAAGAATCGGTTTCTTTTTTCTCGGGAAGGAGCTGTCGGTTCACGCGCATACGCGGACACGCGCATACGCGGACACGCTTGTACGCAGGTGACGCCTCATGTCATTCTCGCGCTCTCCCGCCCGGCGCGGCGGCGGCGTGACTCTCTAAACGACCGGCTGCATTGTAGAAAGAATCTCTCTCACCAGCAAAACAGATAAGAAGAGAAGGTCCCTCTTGGCCTCTCTTGGTTGCTTCAGCAGCAGCGAGGAGATTCCCGTTCTAAGGCGAGTCGAGGGACCGGCCGGTCAATACACTAGTCTACCGAGCGCGCTACCAGGCAAGCGGAGAAGCATCTCCTCTGTTACAGTGTGCTCTAGGGCAAATCAACCTAAGTCGTAGAAGGCGTTCTCTGGTCCCTGGAACAAGATGGGTGAGTTTTCTTTGAGTATTTCGGAACGGAATTCCCCGAAAATCGACAGAGTTTCGGAATTTTGACCCGATCGGACCCGGCGCAATATTCGAGACGGAGATCGATTGGGGAAAACCTGGGAATAGATGATCATTGTGGCTCCCTGGCGGTCCTGAGGACGGTGCCCGGTTCACCAATCATAAATAAGGTGCAAAGATTCGGTTGTCAGTCGATGAATAATAAGGATTCAAGGTCTGCAAGCGAGGTGTTCTCTCCCGGTCTCGTCGTGCACTAAGAGTATGGCGTATGCTCGCTCACGCGTAGATTGTAAACCATGCATTGAAGTCTTGCCAGCTTGAAGACTCGAAACGCAGTTTGCGCAAGCGAGTCGAGCTATCGTACTTGAAGGGCATGTAGGAGCCCAATGCGCTTCGTTTCTTCCAATCGAACCCTCGAAAGTCCGCATGGTGCTGAGCGACAGCCCCCGTTTCTCATTGGAGCGCGGGATTCGTGTGTCGTCGAAACAGCTACCCTCGATTTCCCCGAACCGTTCAGAGTGAGCACTGTATAGTAGAGTCGACCGATGAGGCCGTTCAGGAGGCCAGTCTCGTGTCAGTGTATTTCGAAGCTGGGAGGGGCCTCTGTTGAGTCATTTCCAGGGGCTAGATGGTCGCCTCGGCTCTGGGCTGAATGCTTCACTCATCCGTAGGCTTTGGTCTTCGAATAGACTTTTTCCCATTTCCCTGTGCTCTGCGTCCGCTGTGCTACAACGAGCCTTTGAATGGGAGTTGTTCTGTTCAGCTCGAGAGGTTTTGCGAAAGCGTCGTCCCTCATAGACTCGATATCTTGTCAATTCTAAGGGACTTGACCATGAAAGGTTGACGAATCGTAAAGCTCTTAATCCGGAAGAGAGCATCGATCGTGCTATTCCGATAGAGATAGAATGCTTGATCCGAAATCGAAACCCACAATATCGCGCTCTCTTAGAACAGCGACTCCCTCTTCGAATCGCGATAGCCAGCAAAATCGATAGACGTCACCGGGATGCAGTTCTTTTCGATCGGAAGGCAGAATTACCTCAAACTATCGCTTCACATGCTCGGTCCGTCGCTGCTGGAAGACTCTGGTCTGACAACCAATTCTTGCGCGAAAACCTTCATGATCGCCTTTGTGGGCCATATCGACCCAATTTCGCGAAGAGAAGCTTCCCTAGTTGAACCGGGCAGGAATGTTCGCCGCGCTTAGACCGCATGAATCGAAATTCCTCGAAAACTATGGAACGACTCGGTCACGCTCGTTCGGAGAATGTATCACGTGACATCATCGTAGCCGAAGGCCACCGGAATCTTTTCTCCGAGGGGATGACGCTTGGTATCCAACCCGTAGGCTGTTGCAGGATAGCAGGATCTACGTGCGGGTCCTGGGTGTACCTTACGCAAATTTTCTCCGACATTGGGGGCCGATGTCCTCATTCTCCTTTACGAGTGGTTTCGATGTTGTATTTTGCGAGAAGCCCCTGTCGGCTGCAAGGGCATGGGATTCGAATCCTAATGGACCCTCGAGTAGAGAGATGCGCGTGCTGGATCACTCGTGCGTGCTGAATGTGGGTGCAGAGGACGAGTGCGCGTGATTGCCAAACTGCGCCGACCAGGTTACCTGCGATCGGAGGTGCAGCGATGCCAAAGCTGGAGGCAACATTTCCCAAAGGAAGAAGCCAAGTCCCACGGCAGAGATCTGCACATGTAGTCACAAGCGGCTAGTGTCGAACGGGTGAACCGCTTGTCGGGGATTCGATTAGCGGCTCGGAAAGTCTTTCACAATGGGGGGCAATCTCGGAGTCGCGGGATCATCACAAACTCGTACCTCGCTCATATCGTCACATGAACTCAAAACGTTCAAACGGAAAAAACGGCGAGGAGCCGACCTGTTCGACGTGATGGGCAAGCCGTGCTGGTCCACGCCGTTGCCCGAGATCCAAATCACCGAGCCTCCGTGGGGAGAAGATGAAGCGTACGATGACGCTTTCGCCGGTATGTCGCTATCGTAATCCGTTGCCTCAGATCCCCTATCTGTCAGGAGGCTCGCCTCAATTCCGATAAGTACTCAAAGAATTCAGTTCAAGCACTGGCCCGCAGTCGTAAGCGGAAATTATTAACGGCGTTAAACATCCACGCACGTCGGATTTGATAGACGACGATTTTCGTTCGAACACCGACTCTTCAATCTTCGCCGAGAGCAGCTTACAATCGAAAGACCTTGAAACGTCGTCGACTCACATGCTTCGCCCGAGTGCGTGACTAGCCCACGTTTCTTTCCCGAAAGTGAAGTCGGCGTGGTTGAGGCCCGCCTTGTCCACTTTCCGGCTGGATACCGCGCATAAATATTCCTAATAGCTTAGTTAGCTGTAGAGAGTCTGCCTAAGAGGACTCGAGTGGATACAATGTTTACACTCACAATTGTTCGACCGATGCCAACCGAGCTTACCCAGATAGGGTGACACTTCGGTCGCGGGCGACTCGCTTGGCAGGCGGATGTTCGCTTCTTGTTTATATCCCTTTTCATGCCCCAAGTTTCTAACTTCTTTGAGAGAAGTAGAGATTGAGTTGCGTTCTCGTGGATGACTTTCTCTCCGGGACCGAATGCGCCTGAACAGTCGTGGACACCGAAATTTGCGAGGGGCCGCAAAAGCCTGAAAAGATCGTCACCGCGGAAGGCCGACACACGATTTTTTGTTTGACAAGCACTACATATCCGCTCAAGTCGCACCTCCCTCTTTTGCAGGACAAGATCAAGCATGGGTGACGTTAGCCACGAACGATACCTACGCCTTGGGTGCATTGGTACTCGGAGCTTCGCTGAGGAAAGCCGGCACGAGTCGACAGCTCGCGATACTCATCACCTCGACGGTTTCGCCTGCGATGAGAAAACTTCTGGAATCGTCTTTCGACCTCGTACAAGAAGTGAACCCTTTCGACTCCGAGGACGCTGCTCACTTGGCGGTCCTGAAGCGACCTGAACTTGGAATCACCTTCACAAAAATCCACTGCTGGACTTTGACACAGTACACCAAATGCGTTTTCCTCGACGCTGATACGCTCGTAAGCCTAATTTCCGTTTTCCTATGACGCCTCCTACGGGATTCCACGAGAGCGCATGGAATTCTTCGATATGACGCGTCCGTCAGCTCAAAGGAAGTATTTTCTTTTCAACAGATCTTGTCGAATTGCGACGAGCTTTTTCAACGCCCCGAGTTGAGCGCCGTTCCCGATGTGGGATGGCCGGACTGTTTCAATTCGGGCGTATTCGTTTTCGTGCCTTCGTTGAAAACATTCGAAGATCTTGTTTCGCTAGCCGATCGCGAAGGGAGTTACGATGGTGGAGATCAAGGTCTTTTGAACAGTTACTTCAGTGACTGGGCAACCAAGGATATCGCACGACACCTATCGTTCATCTACAACATGAACTCAAACGCATTTTACTCCTACCTCCCCGCGTTCCTCAAGTTTGGGCACAACGTCAAGGTACGTGGTCAAATTCATTACGATCAAATCAATCAGTGATTGAATTTTCATGCGACCACTTTCCTCTTTGCACCCTTGCGGATTCGTGGCTAAGGAGAAACTCCGAATCCACAGATCGTCCATTTCCTTGGGGCCCGGAAACCCTGGCATTACAGCTATAATTTATTGTCGAACCATGTCGACTGTGATTGCGGTCACTATCAACAACACCTGCAACTTTGGTGGGACATCTTTATGAGTCACGTTCAGCCGAGACTTTCTACGGACTGCGTACGTAGCACCTCGTAGCGGCTCTATGACTCGGAGATCGGAGATCAGATCCCTCGTTTCCGGACCTACATGCGAAGACTTCTCCGTCATGAAATTGAGTACTTGATGTTTTCGCAGGCGGGACTCGCTGGAGAAATGTCTAAACTAAGTATCAGAAGCGCAGAGGAGCTCCGTAGCTTCCCCGCAGACCAAATACTCGGTTCAGAGGGACGGCAGTTCGCATGGGAGCGCGGCCAGATCGACTACATGGGTGCAGATGCGTTTGCGAACATTCAGAAGAAACTCGATGCCGCGATGACTCCGAGCCAGGGTGAGTGAAGCGACCTGCAGATTTGAAGTGAATGGGAGACGAGAAGAGCCTCAAGCTGGCTTTCGGCGTCTGTTTTACTTTCGGCATTCCTACTCTGGTTCTATGATTTTCAAAGTATGCGAGACTTCATTAAAAATTGTCCCACGCCTTTCTGCGGCCCCTTCTTTGACTAGCCATGGCTTGAGCTACCTAATTCCTTGAGTTGTCATGTATGCGAGTTCAATAGAGTTTTTGGTTCGTTTTGCCAGTGATGTGGTGGAATCGGCCAGCGCCTCTCCCGGCCATCCAGGAAGAGGCCGCTGAAGACGAAGCTGCAGATCTGGTCGAAAACACGATTGTTACGTTCTTCACAACTGCATCCAGATCACGGTCTCCCCCGGCCAAAATTTTTCCCGCTTTACTGCCTCTATCTAATTTCGCTGCAGTCGATTATATCCAAGGATCTCAGCTATCTAATGGCTATCCCTTCGTCCCTCGCGGCGTCCTCGACGAAGATGATGTTCCGCTGCTCAAAACTCCGAATGTTCCTTTCCTTGAGCCGATTACCGGAGTGCCCAAAGACGTCAAAGCTAACCCTGACGTTGTTCCCTCACGCCTTCTTGTCGATGCGGCTGTCAACACCGACATTACTATGGACGACATTTTGTACGTACGCAGAGGAGAACGATTGAGACAACGCTGTGGAGGATCTGTCGTCTTTGATGACGACTTCCTACCGAGGGTAGGGAGAGGGTCACGAGGTACTCCCCTCTCGTGGGGAGTCGCAGTCACGGATCCGAGCCCTGCTACAATAGCGTCCACAGTTCAAAGCGCATCTTTTTCGACTAATCCGACCAGTTTTTGTACTCTTTCTTAAGCATACGGAGGCATGCAACACTATCGCCGCGATACTGTGTAGTGGTCGAAGGTGGAAAAAATATCTATGGCTGCCGTTTGTTAAGTTATCCGACGATTAAGGAACTGATCATTGTTGTCGCTGCTCCCCAATGTGAAGAACGAGTGAGATTCCAGAATGAACGAGTGGTCCATCCTCCGCACCATCGACCTCAAGTGCCAACTTGAAGACCCTTGCAGGTTCCGCCCCCTAGATCGCTTTGGAGTGGTTATGTGGTGTGGTGACTACCGATAAGACTACGAACTGCCCCTTAACACGAAACGCTTGATTCGCGGGGCAGCGATCATTCATCGCCGAATGGAGCTCCATGAACGAGCGTCATGAAGTCTTTGACTTTCAGCCGCTCCCCCTCCAGCAGAAATCGCCGCCCCGGCAGCAGTTCCGATAGCCCAGTCTTCTGTCCCACCAGCGCCTGAACAGAGTTCGACGCCTTCAGCTGCGGCTCCCACACCGGCTGCGGTTCCAGCTCCCACACCAGCAGCTGCTTCTATTCCTGCGGATTCTCCAGCTCCCACAGCGGTCAACGCACCTGCAGCGGCTCCGACTCCCGCCCCAGCAAAGGCGCCTGTAGCGGTGCCAGCTTCTGCACCAGCCGCTCCTGCCTCAGCACCAGCTCCTGCTTCGATACCTGCTGCCGCTCCTCCTCCGGCACCTGCTGTAGTTCCGGCTCCAGTCATTGCAGCGGATCCGGCTCCGGCACCAGCTGCGGCCCCGGCCCCGGCTCAAGCTGCGGCCCCGGCCCCGGCTCAAGCTGCGGCTTCTGCCCCGGCTCCAGCTGCTGCGGCACCTAGTCCTGCGCCCGCAGTTGTTCCCGCAGCGGCTCCAGCTCCTGCGCCTGCCCCTGCGGCAGCTCCGGCTCCTGTGCTGGCTCCTGCAGCAGCTCCAGCCAAAGAACAACAACCTCCTCAAGCTTAGGGATGAGTTTCAAGCGCGTTCGGCTATCTCGCTCGTTCGTGATGATTTTTCAGAGTTGGTTGGAAAGTCGTCAGAATCGACTACACAAAGAATTTTTACCCAAGCAGAGCCAACGAACCGTCGGCGTCGCTATTGGCGTCCATGACTGATATTTATTGCCAAAACAGGACTGGGCTCCTAGCTCGTCACTGATATTATCGGATCATTTCCTATCAATACGAAGCGAATACCCGGTCGACTCACTTCGAGTCAAGGATAGTCTCAATGCAGCTGGGGGAACATGCTCGCGGGAGCGATGCAATAAATGTTGATAAGCCACTTATAAAAAGGAACCGAACATTTGTCAAGTTCAATCACACTTCCAGAATCTCTCAGAACCTCGCGTGCCACAGCATCTCTGAAGATTGTTGGTCGCAATCGCGGGCCGGACGATGAGCATCAAGGAATCGATGGAAATAAGATTAACTATAGCAATTAAGAGAAATTATAAATGGAGAGTCACAGGACGGAATAGGTAATATAACAGGATAATACTGAATAAACAAATACCAGTGGGATGATCGATTGAGCGATTCTTTCGCTTCCTGCGTCGAGCATCGACCGATCTCGAGTCACATACCGAGGAAGACTCCAGAAAGCCCTTCGTTTGCATGGAGGCTCGGCGATTCCCGAGAAAGTTTCCCAATCAAGGGCGAGCTCCTCCTTGTTCGAAGAAGCTCACTTCTTATCCTATCAGATGAAGTTTGGGATCGGAATGAGTGAATCGGAATCATAGTTTTATTCATTTATTCTCTCTATGCATAGAGAACTCAGGGGCGATACGGAACGGGTAATCTCACAAGTGACAGATAACGTCGAGAAGAATGATGATCTGATTATTCCATCTAAGGATGATCAAAGCGAGAGCTGCCTGGAGCTAGGTATACAATTGAACGCATGACGGACCCCTATCCTCCGCAGAGGTTCCGAGAGCTTCTGTTACCCGCCGATGAAGGAGGCGGGACTGAAGAGGAATCATCACACGCAACCATCAGGGGAACTTGGGTTCATCATCCCTTCAATCACAGCGATGACCTGGATGATCGGAGGAAGTTCCGGGATCAAGGTTCTCCTCTCGCTCTTCTCCTCCTTTCCTTCCTCCTTCTTTCTCTCTACTCCTCCTCCATGGATCCATTGACCTGGAATAAAGTCGACGATGAAAACGAAGGTTTTCAACCGGAAGCATCCGATGCTCTGCATGAATAAACACGGCATTGAATCTATGGAATCGAGAGCGTTGTCTCTGACGTAGAGGACCCCGAATCGCTCCCCGCGACCTCCCTCCCCTTCTTAAGATTCGTCTCCGGATATAAAGGAGGCAACCAGCGACTGGTCATTGCCGATCTCGATCCCCTCAATCGGAGGATGGGCCGAGTGAATCCAGCTTCTTAATGCTTCGATGAAGAAGTTTAGAAATGTATAGAAATTCTTCGCATTTCCTACCTCTTGTCGAGCACAACTAAAAATTATCTTCGCCGGGGCTGCTCGACCTCTGCGCCGATGACAGGTTCGTGAAGCGTATAGATCTCCCCGCTCTCCTCTATCTTCATCCTAGATCGAGTATTCGGCATTTTCATTCACCGCGCGACTCTACATGCTCTGACTTCCTGGTGCTGTTGCTCAAGCGTTGAGATATTCGGGAGATTCACAGCGAAATGTTCGGCAGCGTAGACGGACCAGGTCCGATCTGAGTTATTGCTCAGGCCCCTTGGGATCTGCGAGGTGAGACGTCATGAGACGAAGTTGCGAGGGTTGCCACGACGATATCGCTCACCAATCGCGATAACTCCCGCCCACCATGACTCCAATCGACGGATACCGATTCCCACCTAGAGGGTGTCGAGTCCGAACATCTAGGATCAAATTGAGAGTCTCGCATTCACTCGGTGGAGCTATGCTCTTTTTTTCCTGATATGTGGTCGGACTCGCGTCAGCGGTGTAAGAATGTTGTTCAGCGACGACGTGGTACCGCAAAGTTGCTCGACGTGCCTACGACGAGCTCTACATGATGACTTGCTCCTACCATACTCTCTCGCGGAAGTCTCAACAGAACTGAAGATGACAGCTGTGACGCATATCTAGGTAGAATTATATGCTGCAATAAAGATGAGCTGACGGCTGTCGTGGAGTGGTCATAGATAGCGCTGAAGTGCGGGGGAAGTCTGACGTGAATCCATGTCTGGAAGCTCCACGGGCCGCAGCGGACACACACAAAGTTGAGAACCAACCGTCCATCGAGACGGTCAGACGACCACGACGGCTTAGGCGATTAAACCGAAATTCAGTTTCGTACTTTCCCGAGGCCAAACTGTGGCATCATATGGTGGCAGCGGAAACCAAGACAAGGATCAGCACGTTAAGAAGTGGTTCCAGACCGAGATTCCAGATCGCCCGCTCCAGCCAGCGACTCCGGATAACGGCGGAATCGCGCAAGCGGTCCGACAGAAGAACAGGAGAAATACGCAGCTCCCAGCAGCGTGCCCATCCATTGGCAAGCGTCGTCCGGCAGCTCAGACGTCAGAACCAGTCACGTTCCGTCCAGCGGCGATACCACGCAGTACAGCGGTGTCCAGAAAGCGGATTCTCCCCACAACCGACGGCGCGGCGACGGCTCACACCTGAGCCTCCAAGCCTGTTAGGCCTACCTACTGACGGCCGGTCGGCGGAATATCTCGCAAGCGCTACTGCTGGTTCGCACCCATGGCTGACGACCTGACCAATGCGCCGGCGGCGGAAACATCGGAAACATGTGACCCCCAAAGAGTAGGAACCAGGGGTACGGCGGCGGAGCGAGATGATATGAACGCGCAACTCATGATCAGGCGCACGCTCCGCACGCGCTTCACGAAGAAGACGAAAGAGTTGGAGGAGGCGATGCGTTATGAGACACCAAGTTATAGTGATT